AAAAATAAATAAAAATAAATAAAAATAAATAAAAATAAATAAAAATAAATAAAAATAAATAAAAATAAATAAAAAATAAATAAAAATAAATAAAAATAAATAAAAATAAATAAAAATAAATAAAAATAAATAAAAATAAATAAAAATAAATAAAAATAAATAAAAATAAATAAAAATAAATAAAAATAAATAAAAATAAATAAAAATAAATAAAAAAATAAAATAAATAAAAATAAATAAAAACAAATAATGGAACTTCTTACGCCCTAGTATGAGAAGTGAATTGATAACGACTTATCTAGATGTCCCGACACCCCGACAACTAAGGACAGTTTTATTTGACCTGTTAGAGAGTTAGTTTCACTGTCAACTTTGTCACTTGCCTTATTTTAGATTGGCTATAATACAGGGTGTTCGATAAGTACAGTACATAACTTTAGGAGCTAAAATAAAGGTATTTTGTCATATTACACTATGTCTCAAAAATGCTTCGTTACGGAAATACAGGGTGTGAAAGTTACCTTGTACGCACGCCACTGGTTAAACGAAAGCCACTGTGTTTACAGTAAAACACGCAACGTTGCTAACTTCTTAAAAGCTGCAAAAATTTAATTAAAATATCTAAAGTGGTTTTGGAAATATTTAATTTTATGAAAGTTTCACACCCTGTATTTCCGTAACGAAGCATTTTAGAGTGTATATGACAAAAATATCTTTATTTTAGCTCCAGAATACGCTCCTGTACCCTGTATTATACTTATCGAACACCCTGTATAATAATATATTTTTTAATAAATGATTTTCAAGTTATTTGTACGCAGTTGCATGTATTTTTTTGTTATATTATCCAAGTTAACATGGACTTGGAATATCAACTGCTTTTTTCATGATTAACGTAGGTATAGGTAACACATTATACACTACTCACGACAAATGTTTAGTTTTTATTTCTATTTCATAAAAAAACGGAATTTTAAAAATCATCAAAGAACAAAATATTCTTCTAATAGTCCCAAGGAACAACCCCCTTGAATTTTTGCCGCATATTTAAAAAGACCCTATATATCACCAGTAGTTGCGGAAAGGAAACAAATAAAAATAAACTGTTTTTTAAAATCAATAATATACATTGTTATTGAAAGTTTATATCAAAGAAGAGGAGGAGGTTGGATTATGAAAATAGAATTTATTTAAACTAACAACCTCGTAGTAATGTTGTTTTGATCCTTATTTGACATTCTAAATCCGCACAAAATAATTAAAACACAATACACGACAAATTAACCCACTTTTTTGAAAACTAAATAAATAAAATATTAATTTTTTCAGTATTTTTGTTTGTAATGAAGGTTGAAAAATGTTTCAAATAAAATGTGTGTGGAAAACATATTAAACACTTTTTGATTAGATGAGCCGTACTCAATATATTTGTTAATTTTACAGGAAAGTCATGTGTTGGACACATCAGATATTTATTACCTACTTATATTGACATTAACTTATAAACGATGATTATTAAATGAAATATAGTTATAGCTTGTATCATTTTTACAGGAGTTGATTTGTCAGATGTACCAATAATTCCGTCAGATATTAAAAATGATGATTCTCTTCTAAAAATGGCAAAAAGGGCCAAAGTTGTAATAAATTGCTGCGGACCTTATCGATTCTTGGGTGAACCGGTAGTTAAGGCTTGCATTGAAGCTGGTGCAAATTACGTAGATGTTAGTGCGGAACCACAGTTTCTCGAATCCATTCAATTAAATTACCATAAGGCTGCACAGGAAAAAGGTAAAAAGTAGTATGATCATCTCATTCATACAATTCTATGCTATCTGGAGATCCGCGAATTACACATTAGTTCAAATAAAATACATGATCTCAAAACAGAAATAATTTATAATAAATGCGGGTAAAACGAGGGGGTAAAATAACAATAAATTAAGGGAAATACTTAAAAAGGGCAGGTTTAAAGATTTATTATCACAAGAAAGTATATTCGTTCTGTTTATTTAATAAGTATTGTTTGAGGTTACTTTTGAATACATTTATTGTTGTTTTTTTTTTTAATTTCCGTAGGCAGTGTATTAAATTTTTTAAACCTTTTATAAAAATTGTATTTTGGGAACTTTTAGTGATGGTTTGCCGTACATGAAAGTCAGATTGGCTTCTTGTATTATAGTTGTGATATTGCGAATTATATTGAATTTTTTTCTAATAGATCTGATGCAATGATACTATGTCATTTTTATTTTATAAATAAATATCAGTCATGTACTGAAGATAATTCTGAACTGAAAGCCAATTTATTTTTTTTTTAACATAGTTTCAATACTCATCCTTCTGTCTTTTATTAATAGAATATAAATAAGCGAAGTAAGGAGTCCAAATACATCAGCAGGCCTAAGAGGTAAAGGGGCCAATTATTATTGAATAAATTGCTCGAACAAGTTTTTAAACCCTAATCAAAAGGCGATATAGAATGGTTTTAAAAATCAAGGCTTGTGAAAATCATCACATGGTCTTAGTAATGCGAATGCTTCACAAACCAAAAAATTCAGCGTCCTAATACTACTATCGGCTTTTGGTCTTTCATTCCAAGTTAAATCATTTCTCGTTTTTGTTACGCTACGAGTTAACCCTTGTGGGCCTCAGTCTCCATAAGGTGGGAATCACCATTTTAGCGTCTCTCGAATTTTCTTTAATTCTACTTAAAATCGATGTACTTTTCAACCTTCTTAGAGGCTTGTATGCGGCACCTAAACCTGTCACCATCTGACAGACCAGGTAAGCGCCAATAATTCCCGGCCTGACATAGTTGCAGATATTTTATCAGGATAAAAGTTAAACATTTTATAACTACAAACTTTAGTAGGCTGTGGTAACAAAATAAGCGACTTACGTCAAATAGTTTTTAATTGTCAGCATTTTGAACTAAAATATCTCCGAAATGTCTCAGGTGACGAAAATTGAGTTCAGAGCGGTTATTACATTTTTAAAAAAAGAAGGGTTTACACCTAAAATTATTAAAGAAAGACTCGATGGCGTATATGGCCAAAGTTCCCCTTCCTATTCGGTAGAGAAGGAATGGGCAAAACGTTTTCGCATGGGTCAGGAATCCCTTGAAGATGACGAAAGACCTGGACGGCCAGTGGAGGTGATAACGGAGGACAAAGTGGCCCTTGTGGAAAACCTGGTGCTAAGTGGCCGATGTTTGAAGGTCAAGGAAATGACAGAAATGACCAAGCTTTCTGATACCACTGTTCGCCGAATCCTCCATGATCATTTGGGTATGCATAAGGTTAGTGCAAGATGGGTGCTCAAACACCTTTCGGCGATTCAGAAGCAACGTCGTGTCGAGTGTTCTCGATCGTTTTTGGAACTGTGTGGAGATGATCCGAACCCCGTCTTGGAAACAATAGTCACTGGAGATGAAACTATGGTTCTTTATTATGATCCTCTGTCGAAAAGGGAATCAATGGAGTGGCGCCGTAAGGGTGAAGCCCCCCCCCCCTGAAAATTTAGAGTCTGCCAATCAACGAAAAAGGTGATGGCTACGATCTTTTGGGATTGTGAAGGAATCCTTCTGATTGATTTTAAAGAGACAAATACCACCGTTAATGGCACATATTTTTCGGGAAAAACGTCGAGGAAAATTAACCAGAGGCGTGCGGTTGTTGCACGACAATGCGCCCGTTCATACTACTGGCGTTACACAAGCTGCCATCCTAGATTGCGGGTTTCAAAATTTAGATCACCCTCCTTATAGTCCTGATATGGCTCCCAGCGATTATTATTTGTTTAATTATTTGAAAAAGGACCTTCGCGGGCGACGTTTTCGGGACGATTTTGAGTTAAAAGACGCTGTTTTGGCCCATTTTGAGGATAAACCGAAAGAATATTTTTTTAAAGGAATTAAATTGTTAATTAAACGTTGTAAGAATTGCATTGAGGTAAAGGGAGATTACATTGAAAAATAATAAAAACTTGTTGTTGTACTTTGCCTCCTTCATTATCAGGCCGGGAATTATTGTAGATTGTATACAACATATATGGAGACATAGGAGATTCTACATTTTGCATCTAATTTCATATAATTTTAGTCTATTTATTTAGTGAAGATTGTACGTTTTAAAACTAAGTTAGATTTTCCACACTAAAAAGCAAAGGTTATTGTATGTTTTGCTACAAACTGATACTATATTCGAATTCAGCGAGAGTTCTCCAAGAAAGTGATACATATCAAACTTTTAATGGAACACTCTGTATATTATTTTATATTTGAATTACCCTTGCAGTTTCAATTATAGCAATACAAAATAGTATGAGATTATACAGGGTATTGTCCACGCTATAACCAGTTTTATATGAAAATCCTCTATTTATTTCAATGACCTATGAACTACAAAGAAACGTTTCAAAGTCAATTTTTTGCTTTAAAAGGTTTTAGATATTAGTCAAAATTTTATGCCGATGCACTACTTTTTCAATTCAAAACAAATTGTACAGAAGAAGTCAAAACTCAAATACATCATTTGCTCATTCTTTTTTTTATTGATTGCCCTGTATTTTATATCGCCATTTAAAAGTACCGTAATTAAAGTTTAATTTGAGTTAAACATTCCCTATAACTAAAGTTAATAATTTTGGGAGATTTTTAAATTTTAATGAGAAAAACGATAATTCACAAAATACTGTTTGTTAATTAGTAATTTAGTTAAAAATAAATACCAATAGCAAACTAATCGTAAACTAATACGCTTTTCATATAAAACTGGTTATAGCGTGTGCAATACCCTGTATAATCTCACACTATTTTTTATTGTCATAATGGAAAAAGCAAGGGTAAATGTAAATAAAAAACCTAACTTTCATATATATCACTTCTTTTCGAGTCTAGAAAATTATCTTGAACAAATAAACTAATCTAAACTGGATTCTCACCTATTAGTTGGTGATATTAATATAAACATTAAAGATGATAATGACAATGTTTCAAAATATTTAAATTTACTATATGAATATAATCTACATTCTATGATAAATAAATACACGCGCATTCAAAAAAGTTCACGCAGCTGCATAGACCATATATTTCTCATAGTCTAATCCGTCTAATCAACAGTTCAAAAGCGTGTTTTTGGGACATACTATTACGAAAATTATGTTCAATAGCTCATTCGATTCGGAATAATGTCTAGATCAAAGTGTGAAGAAAAATTTTGCAGTGCATAAAAAATTGCAAAAGTTATAAACAATTAAACACCTCAAAAACATGGTGTTTGGTTTTTCGCCTATAGTTTGTAAACAATAAATATTTTTGGATTTTTCAAAAAAGATCCTTAAAGAGGAGGAAATTTGCTATAAATAAGTTTTGACTCCCGGAACTGTACCTCCATTATTTATAATTTTAATTTAACGCTCAAAGTAGCCTTCCGCGCGCCATTTTTAGGTTGCGCGCACGGCGTCGAACCGAGTACGTTACATAAAATAATTTTTTTAAGTTAATAAAATTAAATTCAAAAATTTTAAAAATTACGGTGTATTCTAAACAGAAGAATTCATTCCCGTTGGAATTTTTCATAAAAATTAATTTTCCAACAAAGTAGGTTATTGTTAATTAACAAAATTTTTAGAATTTCCCTCATCATTACAAATTGATAAAAATATTAAATAATTACCGTAAATTTTTTTTGCTTCGTGGAGCTCTTTTTATATACATATAAAACAAAATAGCTTCATAAAAGTTTAAAAAAATGTTAATACTTTGTTTATAATAATTTTTTAAAGTTTACAAAAACAGAAAAGTCATAGTGGTGCTATAAAAATTTTTTTTTCAATTTATTATATTACTGTTTTAATGTCGAGAAAAGACATTTATTAATTAAAAAAAAATTTTTTCCTCCATTTTTATAAATTTTTTATAAACAAATGGAGCATTTCAATTTTTTTACAACTTTCTAGACAATTGCCAATTATGATTTTTAAAAAAAAATTTTTTCTTAATAATAACTTTTAATTGTTTATAATCGTTTTTTTAATATATCTATTGTTTAAATTATTAGGTAAGAAATGTGTTTTTTTTTAATCATAATTGACAGTCCTCTACAAAGTGACAGCAAAAAATTTTTTTTTATTAATAATTCCGTTAACAATTTGTTATAAACAAATTCCCAACTTTATTGGAACTTTGTTGGAAAATTAATTTTTATGAAAAATTCCAACGGGAATGAATTCTTCTGAGTGTTTAGAATGCACCGTAATTTTTTAAAATTTTTGAATTTAATTTTATTAACTTAAAAAAATTATTTTATGTAACGTACTCGGTTTCGACGCCGTGCGCGCCACCTAAAAATGGCGCGCGGAAGGCTACTTTGAGCGTTAAATTAAAATTATAAATAATGGAGGTACAGTTCCGGGAGTCGGAACTTATTTATAGCAAATGTCCTCCTCTTTAAGGATCTTTTTTGAAAAATCCAAAAATATTTATAGTTTACAAACTATAGGCGAAAAACCAAACACCATGTGTTTGAGGTGTTTAATTGTTTATAACTTTTGCAATTTTTTATGCACTGCAAAATTTTTCTTCACACATTGATCTAGACATTATTCCGAATCAAATGAGCTATTGAACATAATTTTCGTAATAGTATATCCCAAAAACACGCTTTTGAACTTGTGTAATGGATTACACTGATGAAAATTCTTAAATTGATTGTCATGTATTCTGTATTTGAACAGTATGTTCTGTTTAAAAAAATAAAAAAAAAATAAAGAAATATCTTACTTTAAACCAATCCAGAAACTTTAAATGAAGGTAAACATGACGTACAAAACACAAATCGCTACTTTTCCCATCCAATAAGATTTGGTAATTTTTTAATTAATCAATATAAAACTATGTCCTTTTAATTACATATAATTACAGGTGTCTATATTGTAAATGCCTGTGGCTTCGACTGCATCCCTTGTGACTTGGGATTGATTTTTATTCAAGACAAATTCCCAGGTACTTTAAATTCCGTTGTGACCTATTTGGATTTATGGGTAGAAGGTAAAAATATTCCTGGTCCGCTAGTCAATTATGGCACATGGGAAAGTGTCGTATATGCCATAGCTCATGTTTATGAACTATCTGCCATTCGTAAACAGTTGTTTCCCGAGAAGCTTCCCACTTTCAAACCTAAAGTGAAACCAAGGTACGTAAAAATACACCTAATTGATCATTCAGAATCTTCAAACAATGTCCGTATCCCACGTGATCTTGTAAAAGAAAAAGTTTAATGGACATGGCCCTTTTTTAGTGACACATGGCAACTCGATTGACAGTTCTGTCAAATACGTCAGTGGCCAAATTTCAGTGAAATAAAAGTTTGAATTAATATTTTCTCTATTTATTGTAAATTCGATCAAGAAACCATACAGATTTCAGTGAAATAAAACTTAGTCTTTGTTTTGGGTTACTCATAGGTTGAAGTTATTACTTTTAGTTTTTGCCAATTGCTGATATTAATTTGGTCACGGGTTAATACCCTGAATGAAAATCCTCTGCAACAGTGATTCTCAAAGTTGGCGATAGAGGGCCGGTAGAAGGCTCAGGGGAAAATAGGTTGAAAAATTATGTTTTAATACGTATTTTGGCAGCTCAATAAACAAAATAATTATTTCGATATCTACTTTGCTTATAGAATCCCGTATTACAACTAAAATTAAGTAGATACCTACTTACCACTTAGCGGTTTCTCCATTGGTACATTTGTGCAGTGAACACCCACTAAATTTAATATTAAAATAAATAATTTTTTTAAGTTAAGCACTCGATTTTTGTCTCCCTCCGCTTTGGGTCGGGAGACAACACAACCTCGAGCTAAAATCTAATACTTTGTTCCCTTGTATAATAAATAACTATTACTATTAATACGGGTGTTTAGTGAAAACGTCACAGGTTGAGGAAAGTCATAGCACTGGATGCCAACAGAAGAACCAGACTGTCAACTGTCGTTAATGTCCATAAGAATAACATAGCAGTCATTGAAATTATCAAAGCAAAATTTTGAAAATAAAAGCAATTTAATTATTTAACATATTAAAGCATATGGACGGTGAGGTAATAACGTTTATATGTTTCTTTATCAATTTCATATTTTTTTTTTTTTTTTCAGGAAAATATTTGTCTTCGATTTGAAGAATTTTAAACCAGCCTACTCAAACCCTGATTTTTGAAGCGGATATAATTTAATTAATTGGCCATTCAAAGCATATAAATGATAAGTTGATGTCCTTTACATGTAATTCTATCGATTTCATGTATTTTTTTTTTTTAATGAAAAATTATATTTCAACGATTTGAGAAACTTAACCTTATTGCTGATTTTGAAAGTGAAAATAATTTAATATTTACAAGATGAATTAATGCCTGGGTCCGTCCAGAAAAGAAGCAAGTGAGACCATATATCGAGAGACACAAGGCAGGACCTCCTAAGCCGCAAAATCGACATTTTCCAGATGAAAAAAATGTTTTACGTACCTATAGAATAATCCATTTTACTCTAAAATAGGACTAATATTTACCCATGTCTTATTCAAAAATTGTAATACTTCCCATATACAGTAGATGTAGCGAAATGGTTTAAACGAGATTATCATAAAATATAATTTTCACTGGAAATGTTAGAACAGGTCCTGCATTGTGGCTCTCGAAATAAGTTCTTACTAGTAATACCACTAGAGGTCAAATTATTTCCTGATATTAATTTGACCTCGCGTGGTATTCGGTAAGAAAATTCCACGCCGAATTATGGTTGAAAATTAAATATTTTTAAAATTTATTTTTCGTTTCTCAACAATGCAAATTATTTTCTCCAAGTCACCAGTGAAACATAGAAGGTGTCGTCGCCTTGATTGTTGAGTTGTCATGGTAACTAAGTGAGACCTTAACCTCGAATATAATTTCAGTTTTGAAGTTGTCAAGCGGCCCGACGTAAAAAAATGTTTCGCTGCAATTATTTAGGCCTTCAAATTGCTTATTTCTACTCATTGTAGTTGCATGGGAATACCAAATAGAAAATAGTATATTCTTTAATTTTACGTAAGTTTTGAATAACTACAAGTGGTAGAAAATTGTTTTTCTGCGTTTTTATTAACATGCGTTATGAGCGCTTTAAAATGGTATGAAATTCATAACCAGCGTCAGCAAGCATCAATCGTAGGCGGCTGTGATCATTGTATTTTGACAGTTCAAAACATTAAATAACTCGCGTTTTGTTGCGATAAAGAATATTGCACAGCAAGTAAAACCAACAAAATTACCTATTTGTTTAAAAATGAATCGATTTGAAAATCATACGCTATGCAAAATATGCGTGAAATTGTCTGATGTAATGATCAATCATTGCACCATGACTTACTTACTCGGATTAATAGAGGTTTGTGGCTCCAACTTGAAAAACGAAAATTTGTTCCGAATTGTCCACGAATATTTGCACCTAAACTACGCAAAATTCAAAGTGCTGAATGGGAAAAAGGTGAATAAATTAGTGTCTAAATATTATATATATTTTATTAGACATAGACACATAATTCAAAGCATCCAAAGTCCTGCATTTTCGCCATTAAGAAGAAAAGAAGTGGCCGAAGAATATAGAAAACACCTTAGCATTGTAAATAAAATGTATCAAAACTAAACCTATTATGTGAACAAATAAAAACCAGTCTGTCAAAAATGATCTGTTATTGTAAACGTCAAAAAATGTCCAGTATAATTCGCTGTTGGGTACCCCACGAGAAAAAAATTTCCATAAAATACCTCCGTTGCCATGGTGATCTGTCAAAAACACGTATTTTGATTGGTTCAAAATTACAGGTGTGGAATTTTCAAAGTTATTATATGTTACTAGGAAGTAGAATGTTAATTTTATTGTTGTGCCTATGGAATCAATAGCATATTTTGATCCACTTGAAGAAAAATATTTTTTTTAGATTCTGTTATGATCAAAGCTGAAAGCTCTATTGAAAATGAAAGTGGAGAGGTCAGAAGAAATGATAAGAACTATGCCACTGCAATCTACATTTTTCCTATACACATATTTGTAAAAATTATATATTAAATATTCGAAAGTTTATACTCTGTTCTGCAAGATAAATAAATAAATAAATAAAAAAATTTAAAGTAGTTTTATTAAATTTAACTATTTGACAGTGATTTTTCAGTAATAAAAAAAAGTATGGAAAACAGCCGATATGAATTTGTCAATGTAAAATGTTTAGAAAAATATTTAAATTAGGATCCCAATCAGCCTCTACGGATTATGGCCAAACAAAACACAGTATAAATCGCAACCCATGATGTATAGTCTGCCTTGGATCAAAAGCATTTTTAGCTTCTTCAGGGCCTTCTCAGTTGCGCAAATATTGTAATGGGCATAATACAATAAGGTAGCCATGTTGTAGCAAATCACTTGGCCTCTGGGACATGCGCTACTGCTGTAAAATCCATTTCAAAACTTACCCTTTAAATAAGTTGGGTTAAGGTTTCTCAAATCACGGAAAAATAATTCTTTTCCTGAAAAAAGATTATGAAATTGATAGAATTACATGTGAAAGTTATCAACTTACCGTTTGAATGCTTTGAATGTGTCAGTTAATTAAATTATATCTACTTCAAAAACCAGGGTTTAAGTAGGGGCTGAGTTAAAATTCTTCAAATCGAAGACAAATAAATATTTTCCTGAAAAAAAAAATATGATATCGAAAACTTTATTACCTTACCATCCATATGCTGCTCTAATATGTTAAATAATTGAATTGCTTTCATTTTCAAAATTATGCTTTAATAATTTCTTATGGACATTAATAACAGTTGACAGTATGGTTAATCTGTTGACAGCTAGTGCTTTGACCTTCCTCAGCCTGTGACGCGCACTAACCACGCGTATTAAATATAATAAAATGAAATGAATTTTTTGAAGTCGGTTCTATTTTTTCATTTATGTTTAATTACAGGTGTTTTTTAGATAAAATTTGGGGGGCACTACACAAATGTTTATTCTCAAAGTGGGCGGTGGGCAAAATGAGTTTGAGAACCACTGCTCTACAATAACATTATATCTTGTTTTAGAATTATTCCGCATAGAGCAGAAGGAGGTTGGGCGATGCCGTTTTTCAGTGCAGACCTAGGGGTGATGAATAGAACTCAAAGATACCTCTACGAACATGAGAACAAACGGCCTGTTCAAGTTGATACGCAGGGCATTTTTAAAAGCTTTTTTTTGATGTTAGCCACAGCTTTTGGTCTTTTCTTCGCCTTATTATTAGTCGATTTTAAATTTGGAAGAGATTGGCTGCTAAATGTGAGTACCTACCATCTTTTCGCTATACTTATGCGGGTTTCAGATTAAAATTTTAATGAGTATTTCCAGGTAAGTACCCGAAAGTTTGACCTGTTCTTTGAGGAAATATCAACTGGTTAAATGAAATGAAAAATAATGTACAACGTTTTAATTAAATAATAATGGAGAATCTTTTGTATAATGGAGTCTAATGTGGCTATTATAAACCTATTAATAATTTTATATTACACTTCACACAGAAAATATGGTCTTTGTATAATAAGAGGGTTATTTAGCTGAAATAAAATATTTTCTAACATAAAAATTTGTTCCATGTAGAGAATTTCAAATAAAAAATAAAAAAATTCAACTTGCCAACAAAAATGAAAATCAGTCATTATCTCTCAAAATATCATCATCATCACTGTCATCACCATTAATTGTTATTATGATTGGACCTATTTCGTTCATTTTATTTTCACGAGTCCACCAATCTTCTATTAGTTTCTCGCACTTGGAAATATAGTTCCGCCACACTTCTGGAGTTGCAATTGAAAGTGCTTTTCGCCAAGTTTCCCGAACTGCATCGTCACTATAACCATTAGGCCCAATATGGTTGTCATAATATTGTTTTGCTATTCCCCATATATATTCGATGGGATTAAACTGGCAATGATACGGTGGCATACATAAAACTTGATGACCGTAACTTTCAATAATCTGATCCACAACAAAGGTTTTTGGTTTTGCGTGTATATTTGCCAAGCGTAATAATTCTGATTTTAATATATATTGAGGAAATGGTATATGTTCCTCTATCAACCATATTCTTTAATTTTATCAACAGTCCAAGAATTCGTTGGACTTTTGTTTAATACTTTAGAATGGTAAGGTGCATTGTTTAAAATAATTACGCTAGGCTCACTTAAACCTGGTAAAAGTTTTTCATGCAACCATTTTACAAACATTTCTATGTTCATATTATCGTGATAGTCACTGGATTTTGATTTAGATGAAAATATTAAATCAGCACCTTCTATAAAACCCGATTTCCCTCCTGCATGTAAAATTATGTGTCGCTTCCCTTCTCCATCGGTATGTTTGATGGACTTTACGTTATCATCTTGCCATATTCAATGATAAGCGAGTTTTGCGGTGATCTTCTTCCGGAAGTTCACTATTGTGATTTTGTAATACTCCTCTTAATTTGGTTTCACTAATTCCTAGAGCATCGCATACGCGTTGTTGTACAGACGTTACCGATTTTAAAGGACCGCCATTTCCTTTTTCTTCCGTAAAATACTTATGTACACTACAAATTAGACTATCTACATCTAACACACATCTAGGCATTTTTAAAATTTCCACTAAATTTACAATATACATACAATGTCAACACTTGCAAAGAATCAATTCAACTGCAATATTTGTAACAAATTTAGTACCTACCCTAATGTTATTTTAATTTAAATCTGACCATTAGGGCAATTTTACCTAATTTCTTGGGAAGAGGCTTATTGGAACTGGTTGTCAATGACTAATTTGCATAATTTTGTTAATCTGAAACCCGCGTAAGTATAGCGAACAGACTGTATGTGAAATAATTTATGATAATACTTAAATATTAACAGTGAAGTTATATTAATAGTATATTACGTAACAAGAGTTGTAAGTAACCCATTACGCACGAAGTGAAAAAGTTTTCACAAGTTCGTAATGGGCTTACAACTTGTGTAACGTACTATAGTTTTTCTACGCCCACTTAAAACATTCTCAAAAAAGATTTAACGTTATGCTTGTGTTGCCAATCCATAAATTTTCAATAGGTAATTTCGTACCTTTCTTTGGATTTTAGCGGTAACAAATTATGAGTGGCAGCTTGAGCTTCTTCTTAAATCTCCGGTGGAGTGCTCATAATTTTATCACTTTTACTGCTAACAAACATATTCGTAGGTACAGTTGATAAAATGTTCGAATACAATCATATTCTGTTACAAAAATTGAAAATATAAATGGAATGACGTTTATTTCCATAGCATGCTAAGAAAACGCGACATATTATTAGAAAAATTGTATAATAGGTTGCCGACATTTAGGGGCATCACTCTTTTAATCCAAAATGTATCTCGCTAATGCTAAAAGTTTTTGTTTTTTAATTGACTAAATTTATGTAAATAGTCGTACGTAGAAATTTGATTGCAATTTGATTAAACCAAGAAATTTAAGTTTTCTTATCAAAACGCGCGTGTATGTTATGAGATCTCATTACGGCATGTTATTGTGAAATGTCATTTACAAGGAATGTTGATAGTGCGATTTTTAACGTTTACTGACATAGGCGTAGAAAAAAATCATTACAGGTACCTATAAAGGCTAATCAAATTATACAAACTAATCATATATATTCTAGTATCCCCACATATTTAGTTGGGGTACGTTTAGAAAGGACCAATATCCATCGGAAGAAAAAACAGAAAAAACAGTATTCCAAATAACTCTTTATGCAGAAGGATGGGATCAAAAATTAACAAACAGAAACGATCAATATTCAAATCCTCCTAACAAAAGCATTGTTGCCAGAGTTAAAGGTAGAAATCCAGCATATGGAACGACCTGCGCTTGTCTAGTGGGTTCCGCCATTACTATTGCTACCGAAAAAAATAAATTGCCACAAAAGTAAGTAACTTTAATAATGTTTTCACTTTTTGCAACATCATAATTAAATAATTTTATAAAAATCAATACTATCATTTTCTATTTCAGAGGTGGAGTGTATACACCTGGTATTGCATTTGGGAAGACATCTCTAATTGAATTATTGAATAAAAACGAAGTTTCTTTTGATATACTGTATCAGAAAGATATCTAAGTAATCTATAAATTTTTAAATATACGTTATATCTGGAAAAAGCGTTTATTTATTTCAGTCTAAATTTGCACCATCTAAAAGAGTTATGGTAGGAAATTTTAACTCTATCAGATGAAAATATTGTCAACTGTCTAAAAGTATCGCTGAGCCAAATACGACTTAACTACTGGAGGGCGTTTTGATACTGCTTACCGTGTAGTTCGACGATTTTCCTCTTTCCATTGTCGCATCTTTTTTAAAACGGGATCGTTCTTCTGTTCTACTTTAATTTTGGTAGGGGCCCACTCATCGTTAACCACCATTGTTCTTTAGCAGTTCTTTAGCTTTGAGATAAAAATTCCTTGACCAACCTCTTCATCGTGGTTTCAAGGTTCCATCGAAAGAAAATTTATTTCTTATAGGAGATATTTTACTTCCTAAGTTGGAAGAAATTTTGATTTTGAAAGAATATATATCAGAGGAAGCTTTATTTTCAAAAGAAGAGATTTAGTTTTTAATAGAAGTCATATCGGAAGAAGTTTTGTTACTCACAAAAGTAAAATCAAAAAAATTTAGTTCTTCATGGAAGTCATATCAGAAGAAACGTTACTTTCAAAAGTACAAACTTTTGAAGACTATCTCATATGTTTAATTATCGGCTTAATCCGGTTCAGATGAACTGTAATTATAACCTCTTGAAAATAACCTTTTGTCCATGAAATCAAAGGTTGATGAATGGTGCATTGGTTCATTTACTTATTTGAAGACAAAACGATTACACAGTAACACAGTTACATTACTGTTAAACAAACGATTTACTTGCTTGTAAGAAAATCAAGAATCCATGTTAGTAGTTCAGGTTTAACTTCTGGCCAGGCCAGCCGGTACAGTACAGATTGCCCCTTGTAATTAATTTTTTTTTTATTCTATGTTATGACTTCTAATTATATGATTGGGAAAGGTTGTATCTGATGTTCAGGAAGGCTGAGTTCAGCAGATCCTGGAGTTCAACGGTGAGGGGGAGGTCTTGGGAATCAGGAAGTAGTCTTAGATTTGGTTGCGGCATTTTTCTTTTCGGTTTTCCAAATAGTGGGAGGCAGCGTGAGCGCCATGGGGTTTGCAGAATGTCTTGGCAGTGTATGTTAGTGTCTTTCAGCGTGCGAGAGACGTATTGTGTCCTGAGGGTTTAAAAACGTGTGCGGATGGAGGTGTTAGTAATGTTTTCGAAAAGTTCTCCGCTGGGAGAACGATAAGGGAGGTATTGGCAACATCTGAGAATATATATCCCGAGTGTGGTGAATTTGTGGGCCAAGCGTGTGGCAAGTACGCCATAGGGTACCACTCTGTACTCGGCAACGGGGCGGATAAAAGAATTATATGTGTGAATTAGGGTGTTTTTATTGCAACGCCCCATTCGTCCGCACAAAGCCCCAAGGAGACTGTCTCGTTTTCGCATCTTATCAAGAGAGTGTTGGACATCAGAGGACCAGTTGAATGTACGAGAGAATCGTACTCTCAAATAGTCAACTTCGATATGTTGGGCGAGCGACTCCCAGGAGATTTACGTTGACGAGTTTAGGGTTCTGCTAGGTTCTTTGAGAATTTGGATGTTTAAAGACGATACATTGACATTGAGTTTTTTGTGGATTTAATGAGACCCACCATTTGCTACACCAGCGAGAATATTTTGGTTTAAGAGATTTTGAGTTCGAGTATTTAGTTGGTCAGAATTTTTGGCTACCGAGAGTAGAGCTGTATCGTCGGCGTATAGGAGGCATTTTGACGATGGGTGGTTTGGAGGAGGGATGTCGTGTGTGTATATGAGGTAAAGGAGAGGAACCAGGACGGAGCCCTGCGGGACCCCAGCAAGTGGTATAAATTTGTCTGGCAAGGAGTTGCCAACTTTGACAGTTGTTTTTCTGTCGGTGAGGTAGAGGTGTATGAGTTTGGAGATACTAGGGGGAGACCTATGTTCATAAGCTTTTTGACTAGTCCGTCGTGCCAGACTTGGTCGAAGGCTTTTTGAACGTCTAAGAGAACGGCTGATGAAATTTGTTGGGAATTTACTGCAGTGACTGCAGTAGTGTGAAGGGAGGAGATTGCGTCCTGTGTAGAGTGGCGAAGTCTGAAACCATGTTAGGATTGAGGAATGATGTTTCTTATTTCTTCACAAAATTCCCTGATTATTTCCTTGAGCAGAAGTTCGAAGAGTTTCTCTAGCACTGATATGAGAGAGATGGGCCTGTATGAATTTACGGATTTGGGGTCCTTGTCTGTATTGGGGATCAAAATGGTGTTAGCGGATTTTCAGGCAAGTGGAAAATAAGAGAGGAAGAGACAGGAATTTAGGAAAAGGGTGAGGATGGGAAAGATGGTTTCAGGAAGATGCTTCAGTGTTCTTCTATGTATGGAATCTGGTCCGGAGGCGGTGTTTTTGTCTGCTTGGCAGGCATATTGGATGCCTGGATGCCTGAAGGACGTTTTGTTAGGTCTTGTGTTTGAATTGGTCGTCAAAATGGGGGTTGTTGGGGATTCTGAAGGTGGCTTCAAGGTGGGTTTTGTGGGCTAAGGCTTTTTCGTTGGGGGTTATGTGGATTTCTCCGTCGATTAAGAGGTGGGAGTGAGTATGGGATTTTTGACCCATGATGAGTCGAAATTTATCCCTACTCGTATAATCCAAATTAGAAGTGGTATTGATCCATTGTTGTTATTTGTGTAAGTTGGTTTGGAGCCTGATCAGGGCGTTTAGGCGGTTCCATTCAGTTTTGTTGACTGGGTCGTGGGTACGGACATATTGTCTATACCATCGTCGTTTTTGGGAGATGAGATTTATGATGAATTGGGGGAGGGTTTTTTGTGACATGTTTATGGAGGTGATTGGGGCAGATATTTCGACGGCGTGGTTTGGACTTCGACTACCATTGTGTCGATGTCCTGTGGGGAGTTAAGCGAGCATTGCTCTGGAATGTTTGCAGAGATAGTTCTCTGAAATAGTGGCCAATCTGCTTTTTGAGATTTCGGAAAGTGTAAAAATTGTTGTTCTTGGTGTAGCGAGGGGATAAGGAGAGATGTATGTAACATCAGTGGAAGATGATCGGAGGTGATTGTCTCTCCAATGAAGCATCTATCAGCAATCAGTCCTGTACAGGAATCTGTCAAGAGGATGTGGTCAATGATAGATGATCCTTGGTGAGATACAAAGGTCGGAAGTCGGTTTGAGGCTCTGAATATCAGGAAGTCTATGAGCAGATTAGCTAGGCGGATACCGTTTGGATTTGAGGCGGGATCTCCGAGCATGGTATGTCTGGAGATCAAGTCTCCAAGCAAAACGGCGCGGGGAATGATGATAGGTATTCTATCATAGAAGTGGAGATGATTTGGCCTGGGCGGTTATAGTATGAGATAATGGTTAATGGATTGTCTACTGCTATTATGTCTAAATCTGCTAGATGAGCAAGGAATATGTGTAAGTTAAAAGGAATTGAATTTTTGAATAATAGAGCATTCCCAAAGCAGTTTTGTTTGAAACTCGGTGAAGCTGGGTGGAAGTTTAGACTTTGTATCTGTTAAGGATAATATTTGCAGGTTTTCGGTATTTAAAAGGTTTTTGATTAAGGGCCTCTTCCGAACGAAGCCATTGCAATTTATTGTTCCGAATAGACATTCCATTAAAAGTTGGGGTTTATCGGAGAGTATGTAAAAATGGCTAAGTTTCCATGACCAGTGATGGTGCATGAATGGCCAAAGATGGCCGGGATTAGGGATCCCAATAGTTTCGTCAGAATTTCTCGACTATTAGGTAGGAGGTTCATCAGTAGAGTCGAGAAGATTTGAATGGATATTTTGAGCTCTGATGTCAGCACAAGGGGGGGGGGTGAAGGGTGAATATTGAAAGGGATACAGGTGCTACCTATTCGGGCTTTTGTGGAGGCTTTTGCCGTTCTGGGCAGGTTGTGGAATATGCAGGGTGATTGCCGCGACAATTTGGGCATTTTGGCACTTCAGACTTTTTACAATCAGCTGGCCTATGGTGCAGCCCATTATTTGGAGGGGCGGGTTTTTTTTAGCATTCTGAAGCCGAATGCCCAAGACCGATGCACTGGGTGCAATATTTGGGAATGGGAGGCAGGGGGTTTTGGTTGTAGGGTTCGCAGGGGTGTCTTTGGCCGAATATGCCGAAACCCTCGCGAATTAAATAGAAGTAGTGCGACTCTGAAGGTGTCAACACAATGAAGAAGGTAAACTCTTGGGTGTTCCGGGACAGAATTCTCCATATCTTGGTATAGGGAATGCTAACTTCCTCAAGAACCGTTTGAATATCCTCTAAGGTTATGTTTTTGTCAACCTGGCGGATAACAATAGAGAACTGGGGGCGGGTGGGGGTCTGGTGGTTTTTTTTTGTGAGTTTTGAGTGTATTGGGAAGATTATTTTGTTGTCCCCCATCCGCTGTCGGAGTGACTGGAGTTCGGTGGGGGTTTTAGTGGAGGTGGTCTTGATTAGAGCTGTCCTGTTAAAGTTAGCTTTAACGAATGTTGTTTTGTCGGAATAATTCGTTTGTGTTTAAGATGTTAAAAAGGGCCTTTTGAGTCGAGTATACGGTGGGTAGGTTTCTGAGAACGTAGAGTGAGTGTGTAGGGGATCGATGTTGTCTGTCAGGTTGATTGTTAGGTTGTTTGTCGGGTTGTGTGGGAAGTTGTACGGGTTTTAGGGGTTGTGGTTGAGGTTTCAGGGGGTACTGGCTCGCAGTTTTTGAAAAATATTTGTGGTTTTTACTATGGTTTGATCCATGAGTGAGGGGATGGAGCTTGTTTGGCCGGGGGTTGGGAAGGGGATTGTTGTCATTAAATTGAGGCCTTGGCTGTATTGCTGCGAGGAAGAAGCAGCGGATCCGGCGTAAGAGTTTTTACGGGTCACCAATATGTAGGTGACAAAGGTATGTGGAAGGAGCTTGTTCTTTTGGTTAGTAATTTGGGAGTCCCTAATCCAACTAGTGTGTGGCAGTCTCACCACCCAAAGGCTGTTAACCCCGGCAATATGATGACTTGATCCTAGTCG